GGTGCTGAGTAGAAAGATTCCAGACCTCGGCATTTGGTAAAATCCACTTCAGCAGGGACTGAAGGGGTAAAGTCCAAAAATAGAAGAACTGGAGGCAAAACCCCCACAAAGTTCAGTTTTAAAGGACAGATCTGTAAAGAGGACAGAGAAATCGCCTTCTCCGCCCTTTCAGTTTCTTCTGCTGCACTTTCAAGGAGGCTGAAGTTGGTTCCTTATTCGCACTTCCTTATTCCTTATTCGTGTAGTCATTCAGAAACACTAAGGAGAGTGAGTTGGAAAGCTCTGAACCCCAAAATAAGGTCTGAACCACCACATATCATATACCCCACATTCACAGGACTCTCCCCTTCGAGAGGAAATATGCTGTATCCTGGTCCAAAGCACGGTTCTGGTGCCAGCTGCTCCAAAGTGCAGTTATTTTGGGGTTCAGAGCTTTCCAACTCACTCTCAGTGTTTCTGAATGACTACACGCAGGGGTCATTTCGTAGAAAAAGAGCTAGGGGAACTCATTAGCATAACTCATTAGCATATGCCACACCCCCTGACATCACCAGAAGTGTGTGATAATGAATAAGGAAGTGCGAATAAGGAACCAACTTCAGCCTCCTGCACTTTCAAATGTTCCCCTGTTAGCTACAAGGGCCAGTCACTTGCTCCTCCTAACTGAAATTAAAGTTGCGGAGTTGGTTGGTGTTTTGCTTTTTAAAGAAAGCTGCTCCAGAATGCAAATGTTGATCATCTGGGTGCAAACAAGTATACAAAGAGAACCCTGGCTTTGCACCCACTGCATTGTAAAGAATGGCTCCTGCTCCAGACATTCCATAATGTGTTGTCTGTCTTTGGTACAGTCAGCATTGTCTTTAGAAACTTCTTTCTAATCTCTGGTCGAGCTAAGGAATGTGTCCCCTTCTTTTCTTACAAAGAGAACAGGTAGCCGTTGCCATGGGAATTTTGCTCCTGGCCGACTCATTGCTTTGTCACTTGGCACCCATGGAGGCTGCCTTGTTTACCCCTTCGAAAGAAAAGGAGAGACAAGGAAATCTGCTCAGGCTGCATTGTGCAAACTGCAGGTGGAAGTTCACACGGCTCAATGCTCCACCATGCCAAAACAAACAAACCAACCGATGCTCATAGAAAACAAGCATCTCAGGGTTTTAGCTTTATTCTCTTCTCCGCAGCACGTTGGTTTTCATTGATGGGGTCTGAGGGGAGGGAAAATGAAGACAGAACTTGTATACAAACTCCACGATTGTCTTCTTGACTTAAAAAAAAAAAGACAGAAAGGGTATGTTTCAAAGGGGGTGAAGCTGTTTAACTTTCCCCTCTTCATGCGGTTCTCTTGCTCAGAATTCTGCAGATGTTTACCTCAGGGTGGGACCAAGCAGGCAGGGAGGGTGCTTTTTTGGAGTTCCCTTTCTTCCACTCGAGGACCGCAAAACAGCCCTTGGCCCCATTCGATTTTCTGCTCCCCCTTCCCCACAATGATAGTATTTTTTCACCCAAATTAGGCTAAATTATGACTGGAAATGTTTCGGTCATTTTGTAGAAAAAGAGGTTGAGGAGCTCATTAGCATAACTCATTTGCACGTGCCACACCCCCTGACATCACCGGAAGTGTGTCAGAAGGCAACACCCACTGCTCAGGCTCCACTGGACTGTTTTGGATTGCTAGCTATTGGGGGGGGGACGTGCAGATCTGTCCTCGCAGAGGAGGGAGAGCTTGCACCTGAATAAAACTTGGTCTTAAAGGTGCCACTGGACTGTTTTGGACTGGGGGGCCGGGGGGGGGCTTTCCAGCTTACCTTGCTGCTTCTTGCTCTGACTGAGGGCTGCTGGGAGCAGGGGGTGGGGCTTGTTGCATGTGCCCGCCCCCTGGGCTCTTTACTGCCGGAGCTCCGCTCCTGCAGGAAATGACCCCTGGTTAAAATTATGACTTCCCAAAACAGTGGGAAGATGCTGTGGGAGTAAAATGAGCTGCCTGGATCTGCTGATTCCACCTCTCACAGCAGAACCCCTGCTTTCCCCTACTAAGGTTGCCAACTCCTGCTTGGGAAATACCTGGAGATTTGGGGGTGGAGCCTGGGGAGAGTGGTGTTTCAGTTAGGGAAGGAGCTCAGTGGAGTATTGTACCAGGGAGGCAATCCTCCAAGGCAGCCATTTTCTCCAGGGGAACTGATCTCTGTCATCTGGAGATCAACTGTAATTTCAGAAGAGCTTCAGGCCAGCCCTTATTCGGAGGTTCCAAACAACAAGGGGAAAAGACTAGTGTCACAGGAGTCCCAAATATACAAATTCCACTAGTAGAAAACGCCATCAAAGATTGCCAAAACAATATATCAAGCAATTATAAAGTTGGTGGTGTCACAACAACAATATTTATGTATACTGTAACTATAATAAGGCATAAGATACAATATTTCCTCCTTTGAAGATAAGACATAAAGTCCACGTACTCAGTGTAACTTGATAACTTGATTGGCGGAGTCCACATAGTCATAACATATTCCAAACAGCCTTTGCAAAGACACCCATTCTAGATATTTGGAAGATGTGTTTCCTTCGACTTCTTCAGTTTGCCGGCTGTGTAAGTGGGACTGTGAAGAGATTTACACAAATGCCTAGCCACAAAAACACGTATGAAAAAAAGAATTGTTTAAAAAAAACATGCCTGAAAAATACACTCACCCTGATTTCAGCAATTTCAACAGACCACAAGGTTCATGGTGTAAGAAGCTAATCATAGGTTCTCAAAGATACAGACGAAGATGCATGCCAATTTAAAGCTCAACAGGGAGAGAAACAGGTGCATCCAATTTAGATTAGTCCCATTTAAAGGGCTCTTTACTAATCTAAACACTATCCTTGACACAGAGAGTACTCCGTCTTTCTGTGTTATACATCAGGATGCCAGTCACAGCTACTGGCGAAACAATGCCAAACAGGGACAGAAAGGGCAAAAAACTGAACCTTAACACTAAAATTCAGAACCTAACAAAGGTTAGTAAAAATGTGAAAAAAGAGGGCCAATATTAAAAACTGAATGTAGAAAATATATTAAAAAGATACATGTATTTATTAATTACAAATTTTAAAACATATATAAGGGCCCATTCGCATCAAATATATAGATAACATGGCAATAACATGGGCTTAAAAAACAGGACCAAGACCACGGCCAGACAACCCGGAAAATATACAACAGCTAATGAACTCCGTCTGTGAAAGCCTTCGACAACATAACTTTATAATTGTTTAATATATTGTTTTGGCAATCTTTGATGGTGTTTTCTACTAGTGGAATTTGTATATTTGGGACTCCTACCTGGAGGCTGGCATCCCTATCCAGGGCTATTTTTGGGCAGGAACGCACAGGAACGGAGTTCCGGCTGGCTCCCGAGTTGGCCACGCCCAGCAGGAACTCATTAGCATAATAGGCCACACCCAACAGCAGAAACACATTAGGATTGGCTACATTAGGGGTGTGTGGCCTAACATGCAAAGGAGTTCCTGCTACAAAAAAGCCCTGGGTTTTGACAACAAAGTAAACAGAATAAGAAGCAAACGATGGGTGTGGCTGGATGACCACACTTCTGGTAACAAGGGGTGTGTGGCCTAATATGCTAATGAGCTGTGCTGTCATGGGGTGTGGCCTAATATGCTAATTGGTTGTGCTGTTGGGTGTGGCCCATTATGCTAATGAGTTCCTGCTGGGCTTTTTCTACAAAAAAAAGCCCTGTCCCTACCTATGTTGTTCTGAATGGGGGTGGGGTGTTCATTGGCTTCCGGAAGAGGGGAAGTCAGTTTGAATACCACGGTGTGGCCCCTGAGCCTTCTCTATAGAGATTGTTATAAAAATGTAATGTGTCCTTTCCCAGTATTTGAACCCGACAGTAACTTCTCAATGCCCGGCGAAGGGTGATTTAAATTGGCCCGAGCGCCACTACCCATGACAACTGCCTGCTATTTATACATGTTCAAATGTGTCATGCCTTCAACTGAAAGCAGTAAACGGTGGGCTCTTTTTGTAGCAGGTACTCATTTGCATATTAAGCGACACACCCCTAATGTAGCCAATCCTCCAAGAGCTTACAGTAGCTCCTGTAAGAAGAGCTCTGTAAGCTCTTGGAGGATTGGCTACATTAGGGGGTGTGGCCTAATATGCAAAGGAGTTCCTGCTACAAAAAGAGCCCATATTCAACAATTTAAACAAAAAAGATGAATGCTATCCTTCAATTCCACAGAAGAGTCTACATCAAATTTATACCACCATCCTCTAAAATGCAGGTCTACTTGTATATATTAATTACTTTTTATTTATTCACATTGCTACCTTGACCCTTTTTGTGTAGCTTATCATTTGAGCACTTTATTTATCACAACTCAAAATCTCATCAATACTAATTTTGTGTCCCGGGGATGGAGACAAGAACTGTTGCGGGTGTTCTTTTATGCTGGCTCCATTTTTGGTCAAAGGAAATCGTACTGCTATGCCTCACCTTTGAAACGTTGCTTTTTAAATGTGGATTGTCGCTACTGTTTTAATTCTGTTCCTTTTAAAATAGTCTGGTTGATATTTTAGCTTTGGACAGTTCTGTTTTTTAATGTTGTGAGCCACTTCATGCTATTTTTTAAAATCCAGAGGCGACAATAAGTACTGTAAATAAACAGGGCCCAGCTGTAGGGGCAGCAAGACTTTCCCTCAGCGCTATCAGAGGGCATTATTGACTCTGCAGCTGGGATTCAAAGAGGATTTGACAGATCCTCCCCACTTTGGCACTCGCCTCTTGGACCGGCTCTCTCTTGGACTGGCATTACTCCTCGGATCTTTTACAATGTTCCTTCTACGCCCCCCTGAAGGCAAAAAGATGCACCCAGGCTGAATCAGACACCCGAGTCCAGAGAGAAATGAGCCAAAGTCCTTTCGAAGGGGCCTCTGAGATCCTTTGGTTTGCGTAACCAGCTGGATTTCCCTCATCCTTCTGTCACATGGTGCTGGAGAGGTGGAGAATGAGCAGCTCTGGGAGAAGACAGCAGTTGGCAGAGGGCTTCGTTTTCTCTTTTTGAAAAATCTCCGATGGCGTTTGTCACTCAGGAGCAGATTTCTCAGGTAAGAGAAGAAAGCGTCAAGCCGCAGAGGGCAAACGATTGCAAGTAAGCGAGCTGGCCCAGAGAAAAACAACAGTTGTGTAATACCTAATTAAAAGTCTTGCTGTTCAGAGAGAGAGAGAGTGTAAGTGTATGTCTGTAGTACTGAAAGTCGTGCCTGATTTGCAAATAATTTTTCTTTCCCCCCTGCAATTGCATTTAGCAATGATTGGTTTGTGGAGTGGCTTCTGTGTTCTCCTCTGATCACATTAATATCTAAAGATACCATGCTGAGACTGAAAACTTCTTAGGAAGCCCTGGGCCTCATTCTCTTGGCTAGAATGTTATTTTCACTCTGTGCTTCCTCTGTGTTAAGTAAAGACCTCTGCTAAGCCTGAAATCTGCCAGTCCATCAAGAAGTAATCTTCTTGGTTCCTATAAAAGGCAACATGCAGTCAAAAGTGGACAGGAGGACAGCATTCAGACTTCACCATGAACCACGGTCAATCTACCACGGGGTTCCCAACATGGTGCCCACCGACACCTTTCCTGGTGCCCACCAACTAATTTTTGAAAGCAGGTGTGGCCATGTGGGGCTGTTGCCTAGCAGGGTTTCTGACTGGCCACGAGAGATTTGACTGGCTGGGCAGATAAAAACAGCATTGTTTCAGTGGCAGCTACCACCACAGTGTTGGTTTTACCCTCTCTTTTTCCTCTTTGAAGTGTATTTTTTAATTGCCGCACTTCTTCCCTGCACTTATTAATTTATATATTGCCAGGCTCTGGACGATGTTGTCGTTGTTCAGTTGCACAGTCAAGCCCGACTCTTCGCGACCCCATGGACCACATCATGCCAGGCCCACCTGTCTTCCGTTGTGCTCTGGAGTTTGCTCAATTTCATGCTCGTTGCCTCAATAACACTGTCTGACCATCTCATCCTTTGCCGTCCCCGTCTTCTTTGACCTTCAGCCTTTCCCAGCATCAGGGTCTTCTCCAGTGAGGGCTCCCTTCTCATTTGGTGGCCAAAGTCTTTGAGCTACAGCTTCAGTCTCTGGCCTTCCAGGGCACAGTCAGGGTGGGCTTCTTTTAGGACTGATTTGATCTCCTTGCTGTCCAAGGAAGGATCCATAAAAATCAACCAGATGAAATCATTAAAACATTAAGAACACATATCCGAAGAAAAGAGATGGCCGATACGAATTAATCCAATTTCAGACTGCCGGCCAGTTCACAGGCAGGGGGGAAGAGAGCAAAACAAAGGTAAACAGCAGGAGGCATGAGAAAGGGTGTCCAGCCAAGAAGAAAACCGGTGCTGTCCTCAGCCAAAAGCCTTAGCGGCACATCTCTGCCTTACAGCCCCTGCAGAACTGCATAAGGTCCCACAGGGCCCTGATGGTGTTCGGCAGAATTCCCCCAGGCTGGGGCCAGGACCAAAAAGGCCCTGGCCCTGGTCGAGGACAGACGGATATCTTTAGGGCCAGGGACCACCGGCTTCCTCTGCAGTTCCGCCTCCTGCGGCAGCAATTTTGTAGTTGCACCCACCACCAGGTATCTGAAATAGAGATGTAAAGGCCCTGGGAGAAAAAAAAAAGGAAAAATTCGGGGGGGGGACTGTTCCCCCCCCATTTTTTCCTGAAGCCTTTTTTGGTTTTTTCCCCAAAATTGGAAAAATTGAAAAAAAAATTGATTATAGAACATTTTATTTTAACATGATGAATAAAATGTTTTGAGACAAGGTGTTCAAAGATTTTCCAAATCATTTCTAATATATATATATATATATATATGGTATCAGATTGATCTAATTTCTGTGCACTGAGGACAAGCAAGTCCTAGGTTACAGACTGAACTCTCCAATGCAAGAGCAAGATGTATTTCTTCCTTTAGGAGGTGCTGTTGTCACAAGAAAAGAAAAAGGTTTCAGTTTTGTTTTTGCATGTGGGTGGGTATTCTGTTTGTAATAATTGTTTGGATGCACTCTATTTTTAATAGGCTAGTTGTGATAATTTCATGCCAAGTAAAAATGTCCATAGTCATATTTTATGTTCCTAAAGTAACAGAATGACTTTCAATCTGGAAAAGAAGAAAGAAGTGCTAATGTAGCATTTTTTTCAATTTTTCTGAAAATTTCCGTTTTTCCCCGGAAAAAAAAAACACGTGTTTTTTTTCCTGAGCTTCCAAATTTTTGGAAATTTTACATCTCTAGTCTGAATTCCAAAGGTGCACACAGGCCCAAAAAGGCTTGGGGACTCTCAGTCTACCAGATGTAAGCATCGAATCCTGGTGTGCGCAAAAATCCCAGTTTGGCTCAATTAGATCAAGAAAACTCTGCTGGGTCAGCCCAGTGGTCCATATAGTCCAGCATCCTGTTTCACACAGCTGCCAAGTGGCCGTTAGAGCGCATATATCCAACCAGTGGTCTGCCAGCTGCACTGGCTCGGGAGAAGGAGGAGAAATCGGCCTTTTGAAACCTCCGCAAGGAGGGGCATTCTGAGGGGTTCTAAACCGCCCCCCTCTCCTGTGGTTCCTAGCAGCCCCCCCCCATTCATTATCTGCAGATGTAAAATTTGCATGCCTCAAGTTCTGAACATGCACAGAGGGATAAATTAAGACAATTGTGTTGGAAACAGATAAAGGAAATGGGAGGGCGTGCCAGTGTTCCCTCTAAGCTGAGTTAACGTGAGCTAGTTCACAGCTTTTTAGCCACTAGCTCACCCATTTTTGTCTCAACTCAGGAAGGAGGGCTCCAGGGCAAACTAATTAATGCAGCAGCCAAATTGCTCGCTCACAACTTTGATGCCAGTAGCTCAGAAAGTAGAATGTTTGCTTACAGGGAACATTGGCCGGTGTGCACAGAAAGGAAAATCGTGGCAAGGCTGTTTGGGCAAAACCTTTTCCTCTGGTCCTGTCAGTGGTACCAGACAAGGGGCAGGCGGGCGGGCTTTCTGCAGCTCCTCCCTGCGTTGTTGACTCTTGCTGACCTTCCAGAGCTGCTGCCCTGATGGACCACGTGGGGGGCTTTTGAAGAGTTCTCCCTCCAGCAGAGCCTGGACTCTAGCATGCTGTTTTCCAGTTCCACAGAGATGGCTTCCTGGCTCTTGAAGGCTTTTTCACCTCGGAGGAATGCGATGCGATGCAGGCCCAGATCCAAAAGATCATTGCTGAAATGGACGTGCCCCCACATTGCCGCACCGAATTCTCAACAAAGCATGACGAGCAACTCCAAGCCCAGGTATGCAAGCAAACTCTGGGGAAGAGCCTCCAGGTAAAACACAATATGCCAATATTCTTTCCAGGCTAAGGCTTACAAGTTTACGTTTTCGAGGCATGCTCCTAAGGGCTGACTTCACAGACTGGGAATGTGATTTGCATCAAATGTGGCTTGTGTGGTCTCCGTGAGTCTCACCCCAGCTGTTAAGGTTGCCAGGTCTTACCTGGCTGCTGGCAGTGGGGGGGGGGCTCTCTTCTTCCCTGGGACTTTTCTCCCCCCCCCATTACGAGGGGACACTCTAGCATGTGAGGGAAAAAACCTCTATGGTAACCATAGAGCTTTCCCCTCAAACGCTAGAGCATCCTCCCCGCAACATGCCCTGCATGATTATACCACCTCCAGGTGACCTCATCATGTCGGGCATGTTGGCGTGGACAGGACTGTTTGGAGGTGGGGCTCCCCCCACCACCTGCCTAGGTGGTGGCGGATTGGAGCCCCCAAAAGTGGGTAAACCCCGCCCCCGTCGTGGGGATGGCAACCCGACCAGCCGTTCCCACTCTAGATCAGGAACAATGGTGTGTGCAGGAGCTTCAGTGTTGTCCCTTTCCCCCCTCCCTTGCTGTTGCCCTGAACTGAAGTGGTCTTGGGAATGAACTATTCGGCCTCTTGCGGAAGACTACCTTCGGGTTGCCAGCCTCCAGGTGGGAGCTGGAGATCTCCCACTATTACAACTGATCTCCAGGCAAGAGAGACCAGTTCCCCCGGAGAACATGGCTGCTTTGGAAGGTGGACTAGGGTGGCCAGGTGTGGGTTGGGGAATACCTGAAGACTTTGGGGGTGGATCCAGAAGAGGGCGGGGTTTGGGGGAGGGGAGGGGCCTCAGCATGGTACAAGGCCATAGAGCCCACCCTCCAAAGCAGCCATTTTCCCCAGGGGAGCTGATCTCTGTCTAGGGTTGCCAAGTCCTTACCTTGAGAAGAGTGGAGGAGTCCAGCGCTGGTCCAGGAGTCCCTGCGCGCGCCGCGATGACGTCACCCGGAAGTGACGTGATCGTGTTGGGCACGTTGGGGGCAGGGCCAGAATCATCTGAGGGAAAACCATAGTTTTCCCTCGGATGATTGTGGCCCCGCCCCCAACGTGCCCAACACGATCACGTCACCTCCGGGGGACATGCTCATGCTAGGCACGTCACGCGTTTTGGGTTTGGGGTTGAGGGGGGTTACCTGCCCCCCGGGGGGACTTGGCAAGCCTATCTCTGTCAGCTGGGGATCAGTTGTAAAAGCAGGAGATCTCCAGGCCCCAACAGGAGGCTGGCAACCCTCAGGTGGCCTCTGTGGCATTATACCCCATTGAAGTCCCTCCCCTCCCCAAAACCCACCTTCCTTAGGCTCTGCCCCGTAAGCCTCCAGGTATTTCCCAACCCGGAGCTGGGAACCCTAGACTACATAGCACCATGTGATCTTCTGTGATAGGTCAAATAGTATCTTCCTGGACCTTTGGTGTAGTGGTTAAGTGCCCGGACTCTAATCTGGGAGAGCCGGGTTCGATTCCCTATTCCTCCACTTGCACCTACTGGATGACCTTGGGCAAGCCGTAGTTCTGATAAGGGCTGTCCTTGAAAAAGAGCAGTTTCTGTCAAGAGCTCTCTCAGCCCCACCTACCTCACAGGGTGTCTGTTGTGGGGCGGGGAAGGGAGAGGAGTTTGTCAGCTGCTCTGAGGCTCCTTTGGGTAGTGAAGGGCGGGGTATAAATCCAGTCTCCTCCTCCTCCTCCTCCTCCTCCTCTTCTTCTTCTGATAACAGCACAGTGACAGGGGGAGGCTGAAGGTGTGGGTCTGCAGGAGCAATCACAGGTCTGCTCTCTGCTGTGACTCCAAAGTACCTCTTCGCATTATTGGGTCCCTGGGGTGGATCAGGGATTTCTGTAGAAATGGAGAGAATAACGTGCATCCTCTAACCCTCCAAAGTCTTCTTACTGACTTGCAGGTACCCCAACAGTTACACTTACGCTCCCCTCCCCCAAACACGGTGGGCCGTCATCAAGCCTGCCCTGCCGAGCAGCGCACGATCCCTCAGGGCTGCAGTGTGTCAGGCTTCCCAGTCAAGACACTCAACAACGTCCCTTCAGAAGTTTCAGTTTATTGAGAGCTCGTACTCAGGACACCATGAGCACTTGTGTCAGGAGTGGCGGGCTAATGATTTGAACCTTCAGATATACCCCCTTCATACATGACCCCCTGATACGGTAAAGCCAGTAGGCAAGCACCTGAAGACACGGGCGAAAAGCAACGGTTACATTTCCAGCGGGAAGCTAGGAGCAGGCAGAGTAAAGCCTTCAAGGACACTGGACAGATAACAGCAC